GGCCCAGGTGAGGGGGGAACCGGGAGCTTCTCTGTGGTGACCGACGTCCTTCCGCAGGCTGGAGCTTGCCCCTGGTGGGCCACGACTACCTGGAGATCCTCTCTGCCTGGTACTGCAGCTTCGGCAGGTGCTGCGACACGGGAGACTGCAGGGTGCTCAACAACGTCACGGGTAGGTCCCTGGGACCCCCAGCCAGTACTTGTCCCTGGGATCTCCTGTTTTGCTTAAAATGATTAAAAATAAGTGATACAAGTGAAGAGCTGTTCTCAGCTGAGCGCTGAACAAGCGGGGAGGGCTGAGCCCAGTCCCGCTTGAGAAGCTGTTAATTCTGAGGGTGCTGTGCCGTAAGGGACACGGATCTGCTCTGTTTCTTCCCAAGGCCTGTCCTTGCCCATCCTGGAGCTCCCAGGTGCACGCAGCAGGATCCAGCTTGGCCCAGGACCAAGTCGCAGGCCAGGCGGCTACATGCTAAGCCCATGGGCAACGTCCCTGTGTTTCACTGATGCTGGGGTTTTTGAGACTAGTGCTCTCTTAAAAGTTACCAGTTTAGATCCAACTCGAGTATTTCCTCAAGGTTCCAAAGGAGAAATGGGTTCAGGGGAAGATTTGTGCCGTTTTGCAGTCAGTGGCAGACGCAGGGAGAGCACAGGTTTCTCCCTTGCTGCGTCGTGCTCAGACTTCTCTAAGTGTTGCCTGTCTTGCTAACCCTGCAGTTTTAACGTCAGCTCAGGCACCTTTGGGACAGGTAGCCCCAGCCCCACCACCAGGGCTGTGTGGGCTCAGTCCCATGGCTTGTCTTCTCTTCTTACTCTCACCTGAAGCAGTAGCAGCTAGAAATGGGGTGTTAAGGCTGAGCTCCCGTTCCTGTAGGGCTTGAATTGGACCTCAACGGGCAGCTCCATGGGCAGCACTTGGCCAGAGAAGTTGTTATCCGGGCGGTGCGAGGGTTTCTGCAGAGCCCGCGGCCGGAGAAGGCGCTGGTCCTGTCCTTCCATGGCTGGTCTGGCACGGGCAAGAACTTTGTGGCCCGGATGGTGGCTGGTCACCTGTATCGGGACGGGCTGAGGAGTGAATGCGTCAGGATGTTCATCTCACTCTTCCACTTCCCCCACCACCAGCACGTGGACTCATACAAGGTGAGTGCCCTCGGCGCGGGGTTGCCAGCGGGATGGTCTGCGCTTGGTGCCTCGCGGGGGTCTCACACTCCTCCCTGCTGCTCTGCAGGTCCAGCTGGAGAAGCAAATCAGCGAGACCACACAACTCTGCAGGCAGTCCCTGTTCATCTTTGATGAAGCAGAGAAACTTCATTTCGGCCTTCTGGATGCTATCAAACCCTTCATGGCTCACTATAACAACAAGGGCCAAGCAGGCAACTGGAGATCCATCTTCCTCTTCCTCAGGTGACTTCTGGTGCCCCAAGTATATGGGGAGGAACAGAAATGATGGAGTTTTGTGCCTAGGGCCTGTGATGTGAGGAGCTCAGGTTTGAGCAGAGAAAGAGAGGTGTCTCCGGGGTCACTTGCCTCTAGGGTCAGTTTTACTTGTTGATGCTGGCCACCCTCCACAGGTACAGGCCAGTTAGAGAAGGAGCTGGGGCCCAGCTTAGCTGGGACGCCCGACCCAGTGTCTAGATTCTGAGACGAGGCCCCAGCAAGAGTCACAACACAGAGGCTGCGTGGTGCTGCCCTACCCGCCTGCGCAGGGAGAGCCCACGCGCTCTGGGGAGCGAAGCTGGCACTGCAGGCCCTGCTGGGAGCCCCTCCGTCTCACGCAGCGCCGCAGCGTTAGGCAGCAGTGGAGGAAGGGCAGCCCTCAGCTGCTTGGCTGCATCCCAGGTGCTATTATCTGTTGTGCTGCTAGGGCCGATCTGGGCATTGCCTCTTTCTGTGGTTCAGTGAGTGGAGGTTGGTTCCTTTTCTAAAAAAGGACTTTGGCATCTCCGTGTCCTGATACTGTCCCTGGCTCAGGCCTAGGCAGGGCAGCATCTGGAGAAGGGCAACACACCAAAACCAGGGCGCAAGGCAGCAAAACGCCAAGGAAAGAGAAGCATCTTGCGCACCTCCGTTGCATTCACGGCCTTCAACCTGCTTCTGGCAGGGGGTCTTCTAAGGCAGGTGGTGGTAGGACAGTTGCGGAAGCCACGTTGTGTTTCCCCTCCACATAGGAAGCAATTTCTACCTGTCTTGTCCTGTCCAGGCAACGCTCCAGCCTCCTGGCAGAGCAGCCACGTCTTTGCCTGGCATTTGCAGAACGGACCAGCTTTCAGTCCTGCCTGCGAGTGCCTCTTGTCCCAGGGAGAGGGGCCAGTTCTCCCTGACTATGCTCCCATCCCGCTCGGAGCATCCGTGCAGAGCTGCCTGTGTGCCCTGGCAAGCGTGGGGAGGACGCGGCCCTGGCCGGCCCTTGGTGCTGCCGCGGGAGCAGGGCGTCTTGAACGGCAGCAGTCAGTGACCTGGGGCGGTTTCATCACCCGCGGCGGCAGCGTGACCCAGGGCTGCCCCACAGGACTGGCTGCTCCGGGGCTCGGTGACGGTACTGGGCTGGTCCTGCAGCTCGGGCTGGGCTTGGGGGATGCAGAGGGGATGGGCCTGGCTGTGTCTCCTTGACCAGAAGGGGCTGTTTCTCCTGCAGTCCAGCTGGGAGCAGGATCCATACGAGCTGTGCGGGGACGGCAGCCAGGGGCTTTTGGAGATGAGGAGGCTGCCCTGAACCTGGGTTCCTGCCATGTGCTCAGCCACCGCCACTGCAAGTCCAGCTTAGAGTTTGGTGGGATGCCAAGCGCCACCTGCAAAGTCCGTTGTATCCCAGCCAGGACGGGAGACTCACAGGTGGCGGGTCACTCTGCTGGCTCCTGCTGCCACCCTGGAAGAGGAAGCAGCTCTCCCGGGATCCCTGCTGGCAGGGTGGAAAACTCTTGTTCCATAGATGTGTACAGAGAGGGTCTCGCTGGGAAGCGAGTTCCTCTGTGTGTGAAAGTGTTGGGTGCTGACCCTACACGGTAAATCCTCTATTGCTACCAGCATTGCTGAGCCTGGTTGCAGAGGGAGCTGCTGGCAGCTCTGAGTACTTTGTTGATGGGGGTGAGGTTGGGTGACATCCCTTGTTCCTACAGCAACATTGGCGGCAACACCATTAACGAGGTGGCCTTGGACTTCTGGCGAGCCGGGCGGCTGCGGGAGGAGATCCCCATGGAGCTCCTGGAGCAGCGGTGGCTGCAGCCTGCAGGTAATGGAGCCAGCGGCCGCGGGACCGCGCTCACCGCGGCCTCCAGGGTACCATGCACCTTGCGCCGGGGACAGGCATCTCTCCCCCGGGGTTGTTCTGTCCCAGGGGCTGTTTTTGGCCCCCCTGGCTGTGCCGAGGGGGAGCTGGTCCCTCGGGGAGGTGTTGGGGTTCCTCGCGGCATAGCAAAGCGCAGGACAACAATGTGCAAGCAGCCGGGTGTCCTTCTCCCACCACGTAGGCCTGGATGAACTGCCCGAGAGCCGTTCGGGAGAGAGAGATGTTGTCTTTGCAGGGGGTGCCAGATCCCAGCTGAAAATGCAACTCTAGCAATGCCACGTGGACGCTTCTGATCTGGGCCTCCTTACCAAGCCGGCGCTCTTGAGCGCGCGGCTCTGCTGAGGCCTGGCTGAGCTGCGCGAGGCTCTGGCAGGGCAGGCAGCGACGAGCAGGGCGATTGTGAAGCCTGTGTTTTCCTGTGCTTTCCTGCAGACAGCCTTGACGAGGTGGCCAAGATGATGGTGTTTGTCCCCGAAGAGGAGCAACTGTTCTCAGCACAGGGCTGCAAATCTGTATCTCAGCGCATCAATTACTTCCTTCCCTGAACACCAGGTGGGACTTTGCCGGTGGGGAAGGTGCCCCTCAGAGCTGCTTCCCATTCGCATGCTCAGGCGCTGGCAGGGACAGAAACTTCACGCCTTGTTACAGGGAGGACTGTTTGCTGAATCTTACTGAGAGGACGCTGGGACAGCTTGTGCTTGACTGACCCCCCAGTCAAGTCACTGAGTGTTTTATGTCCCACCTTTTACGAGGGGAGAGCCTGGTGTAGTGGCTGGGTTGTGCTGGCAGATGCTGTACTTGAGGGAGGCAGGTCAGGTCCACGTCCCTGCATTGCCACCATGTAATGAGGGCCTCGGACAGACAGGAGAGTCCATCCAGCAGAACCTGCTCTCTCTGCCCTCTCCCCTGTCGGTGGCTTCACAGGCTCTCACACTGCGCCCCGTGGGTGTCGCTGCAAGCTCTCTGTCACTCTCCTGCATCCATGAGCTTGTCTGGTGTTGAGGGACATGTGGGGAGGTTTGCGCTTTTGATAAGGAGGCCTTTGCATGAGGAAATGACTTTTATTATCTTCTCTGGTAATGCCAGCTCCTAAGCCTCTTGCTTGGAGTGTCCCTTTCTCTTTGGTGCCTTCCGTTGTATGGAAGCAGCGATGGGAATGAGTAGAACATACGGTGCGTGCTGAGATTAAAGTGACTTGCCTAAGTCTGAATTATTGCTTGTCTTGCTGCAGGAACTGGTTTTGGGGGAGGCAGACTCCCCTCTCAAGGCCAAAGGGCTGTAGAAGCGGACGGTGGTTGAAAGAACAGGTTGCAGTTCTGGGTTTCAGAGATGGAGTAAGGGTTTCATTTATTTAAAGGGTGTTGCATGCTGTGGCTTTTGGCAGGTATTAGCATTACTACACCACAGGGCTGTTTGCTGTCTGGGTACTTGCCAAATGATAAGTATGTTACAGCAGGGCCAAAAAAATTTCAGCAGCGTTACAGGAATTGCTTTGTGACCTCGGGGTCAAAACTCCCTTCCAACAGAGCCAGGCCAAGGAAGATCAGGTGAAATTGCACATACCAAGGATAGCATTTAGCCACCTGGACGCTGGGTGCATGTGCGGCCCTTTCATGTATTTTTAAGCTTTGAACTGCTCCGTGATGTCAGGGGGAGTAACAACCTCCAGGAAAAGATGGACCAGCCGCACTCAGTCCTACTGCAGACCTGGTGTTTCCCTCCTGGCTCCATTAGCTCATGGGCCTTCGCAGTCCAAGGCAGCAGATGGGTTGGCTACTTCCTTCTCTTGACACATTGCTTTAAACCTCTCTGATTTGAGGCTGGACCTTAAGGTTCATGCCAGCCTGTGCTTTATGAAGCTCCTCTGAGCTTTGGCTGATCAAAAGCCTCAACCCTAATGCCAAAACCTTGAGAAAGATGCAGGGAGGCCAAGCGACAAAGCAAGAGGAGCTGCCGGGCACCCGCCCCAATGCAGGGTTGCCTAGAAAATATTTTGAAAGGTCGAGCAGTTCCTGCTATTGCTGGTTAAAATGAGGGTGTCACCAATAATGAGGCCGCTGTCACGCAGATGCTGCAGCACCCTGCGCTCGGCAGGGTCGCCCTAGGGTGCGTGTCCGACGCCGGCTTAGGGACCCACAGCACCGGGAGCTGCTTTCCCACCAGCCCTGCCTGGCACCCGTCAGTTCAGTCTTAAAGGCATAAATAAATAAAGATGATTGGTTCTCTTTGCACACTGGCAAAATTATTTCCTGTATTAACAGGCTTGTAAATCATCTTGTCTTCTCAAGGTCAAATAGCAAACTTCAGCTTAATAATGAACAAGCTCAAATGGATTAAAAAAAAAAGTCTCTATTCCAGTTTATTTGCCAATAAAATATTGCAACCTTTATTTAAAACAATTGGCAAAACTTTGTGGAACGACAAGCAAAGAGGCCCTTCAAAGGGCCTTATTTACATCAAGTTTAACACTGTTTGCAGTTCACAGTCAGACAAGAGTGAGAGAATTAAATTAGAAAAACAACCAAAATATATTACGATAACAATTTAAAACAAAAAACAGTTGACAACACTGGTAGAGTGATTGGTGATTAGCGTGTTTCAGTTTAATCAATTTCTGTCCTCCATGCCGAGCTCCTCCCTCCTTGCCCCTGTGCACAACAGCCGCATTCGGGAGCGCTGCTGCCTTTGGTACAGATACTTCTCACCTTGTAGCTCCTGCAGGGAGGTCGGGGGCCCCGTAACAGTTTGTTTCCTACTCACAGGATGAGGCTGCAGGTTTGGTTCTACGTTACAGGCAACGGGCGGGCAGCCCCGCTGCCGGCCTGTGCAGCCTCCACAGAACTGGGCTTGGGAGGGACTGCTAGAGATCGTTTAGTCTAACCCAGCACTGCCCCCTCGCACGCGGTGCCTGCTGGTGCTTCCCGTGCAGAAGAGGGAGGTTTCTGCGCGTGCTGGGGCTGCTGCCCTTCAGCCTGTCACCTCCAGTTAGTGGCAGGGTTGAGTGTTTAAAAAGAAAAACAAAAACCCCAGAAACCCCCCAGCTGTTTGTGATGCCAAGAGGTTTATTCGTGTCTGTCACAGGGCGACGGGAGCGCGGAGGCTCCTCGGGCCAGACCGCTGCTGCCCAACGTGACAGCTCCCAGGACCAAGGCTCCCCCTCCAGCCTCGTCCTGCCAGCAGCAATGAACACCCTGATGGAACGAGGGTGCTGCCGGCCAAAGAGCGGAGCGCAGCAGGTTGGGATCAGGAGGACAAGGGAAGGAAAGTACCACTGGCCACCTTGCTGTTACACACTTTTTTTTTTTCTTTTTCTTTTTTTTAGCACTTGCAATTACCAGGCTCCGCTCGATCCCGTCTCCTTTTGCAGGGAAGATTCAAGTCTCACCCATCCTAGTGCAAGTTCAAAAGGGAGCCAGGCTGCCATCGCCTTCAGGGTGATGAAAAGGAGGAGAGCCAAGTGGGGACCGTGCCCTGTCCCCAAGGCCGAGCAGTGCTAGGGACAGCCCCAGGGCTTTGCCCCCCCCACACGATTTTACCTGCAGGGCGCAAGGCCCAGAGCAGCGGCTGCAGCCGGAGCCCGGGCAGGAACTACTGCAGGGGAGGTGTTTTGTTAGGACACAGTTAAGTTTTCTCAGAAGGGTAAAAAAAAAAATGGGTTGAAAGCGAGTTTAAATCATGAAGAATTCTGGGAATTGCCTGCTCTTCTGGCACTTTTGCTGGAGCTTCCCTGGGTGACTGGCATGCAGGATTAAAAAGGGCTACTTTCAAACTCCTCAGCATTGCAGTGATGTCTAGAAAGCTCAACATTTTCTGGTGGAGCACCATTCCCTTGGGAATCACTCCGGGTCCTGGCTGCTCGGCTGAGAAGCGGCAGCGCTGTGAAGAAGCCCTGGAGCCAGCGGCTGGGGCAGGTGAGACCGGGCTCAGTGGTGCTGCTGCAGCTGCTGCAACCTCATTGGTGTCTAGAAGGCAACACGAAGCAGCGCCCCAAGACACTTCCCTTTGCAGGTCCCCTTTCCAGAGGTGGCGTGTTCCATGTGTGAGGATGCGCGCGTGCCCCGGCTGACAGAGATAAGGTTAAACCACGAAAGCCCCGGTAAAGTCTACAAGATACCGGTCTGGAGCTCTGCCAGGATTCCCAGCGCAACCTCCCCCCGCCCCCGCTGGAGCTCTGGGAGGATTTTCAGGCCCCATCTCACCAGGCTCCACGGGAAACGGAGGGATGCGAGGGGGACGGCGCAGGTCGCCGTCACGCAGCGCGGGGCAGCGCTCCCAGCCCGCCCTACAGCTCAGCCAAAAGCAGCATGGTCACACCTTGCAAACATGGTTAAAAAGGCATTTTAGCCCCAGAATAGCAGGGATTTAAGGTGCAAAGCAAGCCTCTATGATTGCCAGCAGTGTGGAAGGGAGCAGCAGCACGCAGGGGCCCAGGCCTGTTTTCGCCCCTGCTCAGTGAAGGGGTGAGGGCGTCCTGCATGCCGGGGAGCTGTGCACAGGCCCTGGCTTTCTGAGGCCACAAACAGGGACACCTTCCAGCCACGATCCCCTTCGCTCTGGGACTGTCGAGAGGCAGCGGGGGCCCTGCCGCCGGGAGGCGGCAGCAACCCGGCACAGGCGGCTCTGCTCGGGTGCAGACACGGGGATGGCTGCGCTCCCGCAGCGCTCCCCCTTCCCTGGCACGCACGGGAGCTGGAGCGCCCATGCAAGAGGCGAGGAGCAAGCCCTGGGGAGCTGCCAGGGCGCAGGGACGGCGCCTCGGCTGCGTTTGCTGCTTTTCCAGCTGCCTGCAGCAGCACTTGGGCACCCCCTTCCGCAAGGTAACGAAACAGAACTGGGAGGTGAACCTGGTAACAAGTTAGAAACAAGCTAGACCTTAAAAAAAACAGCAACAACAAAAAACCCCTAAACATCCCCCCTCCTCCCCGCCCCCCCTAGTAATGACAACACTGGCGAGTTGTGCAAGAACCCCCAACTACTCACAAACGACCATCGGTTAGCACCCGTGCTCAACCACTAGCAATGGGCATCGAGCGAGTGAAGGCTGCGTGCTGGGGAGGGGAACGCAGCGGTGAGCCTGCCCACCGCCCCTGGTGCTTCCCGCGTAAAGGAAAGGAGGCCATGCGCGAGGCGGAGGGGAGGGAAAGGGACGGGTTCCATGGATGAGCTCGTTTTGCTGTTCTCATTACAGCAGCAACAGCGCTGTGGAAACGCGAGCCCTGGGGGTGGCGCCTCCACCTGCAGCAGCTCCGAGCACTGCCAGTGCATTAGACCTTCCCCCCGCACACAGCTCCTTCCGCGCTGCTCCAGCCCAGCCTGGCACCGCCAGCCCCGGCACGCGCTCCAGCAGCCCCTGCCCTGTCCTGCTGCCACCCACGGAGGTGCGAGGGCCTCCCCGCTCGCCTGTGCAAGCGGCTCAGGCTGGCAGGGCAGGCACAAGCGCTTGGGCTTCTGCCCCGTGCAGCCCGAATCCACCCCCTCCCACCCCATTTTTGAGATGAACCTGTAAACGTGAGGAGAACTCAGTGATCTGAGGTACTTCACATACTCAAGTATCAGTCTTTCCTTTTGAAAGCATCAGTACAGAAAAAGACCCGCCTCCCCCCCCAAGTGTGCTCCTCTTACCCAGACTGACAGTAGCTACCTTTGCACCACATCGCTGATTTCTTGGACACATGACAATAAGTTATTAAGGACAGGGTTGGCCCCGGGGACGCTAGCAGCTGCTGAGGACACCTGCAGCTCCTGCAGGCTGAGTTCCAGTTTGCTCACGGCTTCGCGGAAGGCAAACTTGTTGCGTGTCTGCGGGATGCAGTCCACGTAGCCTGAGCAGTAATCCAGCAGCTGGTGCCCCGTGTCCACCAGCTGGCTGTTCGGCGTCGGCTCTGCGATGGCACTCGAGAGCAGGTCCGCGCACTCCAGCAGTGCCTCCTTGCTGATCTTGTCTGCTGGGATCCTCTCGGCGGCCTGCCTGGTCTTCCTCAGCGCCCCTTTGGCACCAACCGCGCCCT